ATATCGTATATATATATATATATATATATATATATATATATATACACGCAGAAGACCATTAATAGGAAATTTAATAATACTTCATGAAAAATTTCCAAATACGTATGTTAGCAGATAGTATTTCGAGCACCATTAAAATTATCACAACTAAAAAATATTTATTTTATTTTTCTATACATAACTAGAAATAACCGACTTTTAGCCGCGCTATTTGCTCTTCCATTTAATTTTTTATATATCTACTAAAAATCTCACCTCGTAAAGAACCATCGGGCAACAGCGCAAGCGACGACCATATGCTGGCAACCCAAATAGAATTCACACGCCACGAAGAATAAAAACAGATTGTACCACCTTGTTGCCTAAATTAATTCCATTTGTTATATAAGACGCGGTCATTCTATTTATTATATAAAGAGAAATATAACTTAATAAATAAATTAAAATAAATAATAATTAATACGTGTATAATACAGAATAAATAAGTATTAACATTTTCGATTTTCGATATTGGGCATATCTTATAGCTAATAACAATTTTTATGAATTTTATAATTTAAAAGCATAAACGCAAAATATATAAAATTCACAAAAATTATTATTAGGTACAAGATCCCGTTCGATAACGGAAAATCTGAATATTTATTTGTTCTAAGAAACATAATCCTTATTACAGTCGATAAAGAAATATATGCTAACGTACAATGAGCAATCCATCCTTCTTGAAACGAATGTGACCTTTCTTATTCAAATAAATGTCACCGGCACTCTCGATCCATAACATACAGTAGACCCACGCTACTACCGTGAACCCGATCAGCAAATACGTCTAAAAACAGAGAATTTCTGTGTTCGCGAGACCAGCTCGATATAAAGTGAACCGGATTCGTATAATTGAAACGAGATATGCTCACATAAATCGGCTGAAACAGCAATGCCGGCATCGAATACACGGCTTTACCCGCCTCCCGGAAAAGGTGCATGACCAGCTCGATTCTCTTTCTCATCACCAGAATCACCAGAAGCACGATGACCTGCGGCATGTATATGGATATATGTATTGTATATGTATATTCGCAAAATTTGCGCGAACGTAACGCCAGATATAGCAATTTTCCTTACAGCAACGACCGACATAATAATAGCGTAGATCAAGTAAGGCTCCACGCTGGAATCCTCCGGGTCAATTTCACCCTTATCCGTGCTCTTCTTCTCGCGATACCACGCTAGCCTATGCATAAAAGATTAAGCTTGCCTCGCTAGATTTAAACAAATAATAGATAGATATTCTGGGAATTTTTAGATTGAAAAATTTTTAAAATGTGATTTTCACTACATCGTTTTAATTTTTGAAAAGTTGAGATAATTCCCTTTACCAGAGATACGTTGTGCCGCCGATGCAAGCCAAAACTGCGCCGATCAATACGACATAAATGACATATTGTACCATATAGCGGAAGGCCACCAGGATACCGAGAGAAAGTGCTGAAAAATCGTCGGTCGCAATCAATCACTCAAAGTCTCTGTTTTGTGTCGCTCAGAGATAAAAGTGATATAAAAATTTAACACCGAAATTTAATGCGCGAAAATCATATTCTCGATAAGATGAAAAAATTCTACTGCTAAAAAAATACTATTTAAAATTTTGCAGATTTCTGTATTGCGCAAATTGCTTGGAATATCAACTTTAATAAAATGCAAGAGACTTCATATGTATAAAGAGAAATTATATCTATATATAGAGAGAGCGATAAATTGGAAACTGTGAATGATACAATTCTAAAATATCATATGCTGTATTTTTTTCTGGAATACCTACCCAAAGCTATGAGCAAAAGGTAAATCAATTCGAGCCATGCGATTCCCAGATCAGTAACTGCGTCCTGAAATAATGATACATTATCGAATACTTATTGATTACTTATTTGGACTAATTAAGGAGATACACCGCGCATATGTTACTTGTAGTTTTGTTTATTGATTTAATTAATTGATCTAAACTGATTTATTTTAGTCGGCGTATCATGTCGAAACATTATATAAAAATAAATAAGTTTTAAAAAAGAAATTTGATATAATTTGATTTGAGGCTTAATTTAAAATATAATATCGGGTTATATATAAAATGTTCAAATTAAAAGACTATTTTCAAGTCATTTTTAAAATAAAGCTTGCCCGGATAAATGCACTGACACATGACATTTCTTCCTGGAATGGATATATTATTTCTTATTTTTTATTCGATAATGTCATAAAGATTAGAATTTTACTATGAGAAGAAGGAATAAGATAATGTGATATTCCCAGAAATTGGATTTTTTTAAATTAATGTAATCAGAAATATATATACATATAACAGATATTAACAGAGAAAATAAAAATATCAAATCGTGCACATATTTTTAAACTCAAAACCGGTTTCTAGCAAAACAAAAGGCTGGAGATTTCTGCATAAGTGACAATCTCGAGAAATGGTCTCACAATCAATCACTTACATTGTAAAAGCTGTCCAAACGAAGGCCCCTTATTATAGAATTAAGAGTTTCTGTCACCTTCTTGTGTATACAGCGATTCAGGAATAATCTTCTGCGAGACAGAAAAGCGAAAATTAACATTAGAGAAAACGATCAAGCTTGCATTTGGTGCATGAAACCTTCTGCGACGAGATGTAATGAGTCACAAATTTACTAACTTGTTTTCGTCCACTGTGCAATTTGCCACGCACCTACGTTGCTTCACTCCATTGGCTTCAATATCAATCTCAAGATACCTAATATACACAGAATATAAGTTATCAATGAAGGCAACAATCAATGCGATCAATTATTATATGACCTTTCACTATAATAGTCTAATAGTGCAGCAAATATCAAATCAACGATTATACGTTTAATATTACTATATTTTTTATTTTTAGATATTGTATCCTTTTTGTTGTTCTTAGGCTGCATTCATTTTTTCAAATAGATCCTGCTATAGCGTAAACTTTGATTCGTATTTCATTAATTTGCTGATAAATTTACTTAATTAATTAAACTTTTTTCTTAAGAAATCGCGGAGAAATTTTATTTCCAATTAGTACAAATACTTCAGAGTGCACTCACGGTTTTCTGGTATGATCGGCACCCTTGCACGCAAATTTCGGGTCGCTTTCGTGCGAGGTTACGCGGCCGCAGACGTTTCCGCAATCATCGATTCCATTTATCACGCGGTAAATGTCACCCTTCTTTACCACATTCGTCATCATGAAGATCTGTACGCACAAATTGTAGAATGCTTAGTGAACATATTAGCGTTATGATATGGATGAAAAAGCAACATCACTTACGGAACCACCCGCCAAAACGAGTACGACGATTATAGCCAGAAAATCGGTGCATGATCGGTCCTTGACAAATATCTGATCCGAATAATTCGACGGCGAGCCTTGACTATCAGGTGTCTAGAAAAGAAAAATTAAAAAACTGTTAAAATAAACAAACACCGAAGTCAGCGATAAATATAATAGGATTTGTAAATAGATTTTATTCTATTTACAAATAAAAATTTTAAGAACACAAGAGCTTATAAAGAAATGAAAGCGTACTGGTCAAAATATAGCCGCAAATCAATTCTTTGTCACGGAACAAAATCAGGTTGGACTGATTTAACGAATAAAAACTAGTCATGAGAATTAATTTAGGGAAGTTCGAGTTGCGTGTTTGAGAAACATAGACGTTTTATGCTTCTCAGTGGATGCGTGACGTTCTTGTTATTTTTAACGAGCACTCTACATTCATAAATATATCCCTTTTTAACAAGCGTATAGAGAAAACGTTTACCGTGGGTTCCACTTTGGACGAAGGCTCGTCCGCACAACCGCAGCAACCCATCTCTTGACTCGCCGGGGCGACTGGCTCCTCCAAACGTTCGTTCTCGTCTTCCTTCTGGTCGCCTCTCGACAAGTCTACCGCTTCCGAACTCGCGCCAGCTTCGAGAACAACAAGTTGGGAGATACCATTATCAATTTGCTACCGCTACGGCATTTTTATCGAATCCACGAAAATGATCAACATCGCGTAACACTGCTTGCAACACGTGCGATAAATACATGGCAGCGAGAGCGACATATAATCTGAGCTTTTCGTGCGTGATGCTCGTGATTTTATCAAGTTCCGATATATTTAAAATTAATACTTCAAGTTTTCAAGCTAAATTAAAAATAGCGTCGCGTAATATCTTTCCGAGACCTGTTGAAGCGAAGATACCGATCGTTCTATTGAGTCAAGATTCGGAGAAAATTGAAAGTGATATAAATTTTCAAAGTTTACGATTTATCTACAACATATCGAAGACTTACATAATTCTGAATGCAGTTTGACTTATGCATAAAATATGTTAAAATACACGATAATTTTGATGTGAATGCAATTCGATGGCGATCATTATTTTCCGGGACACGTTCCTTGAACGAAACCTGGGTCACGTCGATATCGATCGATTAATACACCCGGGAAGTTGCATGCTTGGATACTGTTGTCGCAACGCTGATCAGAATCACGCATCATCCATGGTAACACACGCGAAACATAATTACGATTGTTCAGAAGTAGAACTTCAGAAGATTGATTAACGTACGTCGAATTTTCTAATGAATTCGTGAGAGACGAATACTTTAACGATTAATTCTGATTAAATTATGAAATAATAAATGGAAATAATAAACAGAAATATGCGACACTTGAATGACATTTCTAATGAGTACCACATTTCTATATTCCAACCCAAATAGTTGACATTAATAGTATTATCTGTAATTGGCATCTTTACGAGCTATAAATTTATTAGTTACACATTATATTACACGGACAGATATTCTGTAACGAAGTGACGTGTGAGATTTATTTAGCGCAAAACAGCTTTCGCTAATGCTAATAGAAAATCTATCACAATTACTAAAGATATACACACTGCGTAAAAGTCACACGAATATATATTGAGTGCAGTAGGTTAATGTTACTTCCGTGTTTCAGTCACGAAAGAAACACGAGAGAAGTTTTTTACCAGGCAACACGAAGGCGAAAAAGAAGCTTTAGTTACGGTGTTAGCGGCGTGGTGACACCGTTGAATGACAGTCGTGGATACGGCTATTGCCTCTCGAAGACATTACAATTACGTCATTACTTCCTGCCTTTGTTATAATCGCTAATCTATCTCGTTCGAAATACTTGAGGTGAAATCATCGATGTGTTAATGCATAATATGTAATATCCTTCTCGTTAAAGCACGCTATAATACTTTTATTAAATGTGAGTTACCATATAAATCATGATTTGAAATATCTCAAATATATATTGGATTTATATGTTATATATTACATTTTAGATTATTTTTACTTACATATACAGGGTGTTCCAGGTCAGGTCAATGAAACTTCAGGGTCTTACAGGAAATTGAATTTGTAACAAAAAAGTTCCTATAAACATGGGTTCAGAAATGCTTTGTTAAAAAGTTATAGCTAGTAAACTTCGAAAAATCACGTTTGATGATTTTTAAAAATAATTTCAGAACCATTCATTCATTTGAAAACACCTGTTACTAGAGACAACTTAATATACAGAATAACAGATGCATCCTCTTCAAATAAATTAACAAAGGGACACATTTGTACGATACAGTGAGTCAATATTGAGTAAATGCCAAAAATGCATTAATGAACAAAGCTATCATGTTGAATATATTTGATAATTTGGTTGAACATTGTTTCTTTTACTTTTAATAAAATTGTTGTCCTTCTGAATAGTCTCATTAATGTAATCTTTATGTTTATAAAAACTTATTTTTGTTCTAAATTTAATTTCCTATAATACCTTGCAGGTTCATTGATCCTACATGGAACACCTAGTATACGTATATATTTACTATAAAAAGGCATATATATGTCAGATGTATTCAGTTTATTTTATTATTCTGAGAAGAAGAGTTAGGCAGTGGGTTAGTAACTCTCTTATTCTTATAAAAATTAAAATGCTATGAAATCTTCAAAGAACCGAAGATGACCAAGGCTCAACTTGTGGCTGTTCGGATGAAGAAGAATATATAGATAAAATAAATATATATGAATGTTGAGATATAAAATTAATATAATGTATATCTGTACCTTAGAAACAAAGAATCATATTTTTATTAATATAAATTTAGAGAAAACAGGGTTTAAAGTTTTAAATAGAGAAATGGTATATTTCTTTAGGTATAAAATATAATTTATCGAATTTTTAATTAAGTAATTTAACTGGCATGTTTAATAGTATAACTGTCAATAACACGCTGTACCTGACCAACATTTTACCTCTAAAGTTTCCAATACGACTTTCTAAACATCGTGTCTTAAGAACTTAGTAATAATGGACATAAGATCCTTTGCCATTATACAATTTAAGCTCCTGGTAAATTGGAAAAAGTATTAACTTCATTCTGACAAAAACTGGAAACACGATTCTTTTCCTCTAAGGTACAGATATATACTATATCAATTTATTATTCTTTCCGCAAAAAATTTATTAATTCTTTTGTGCCGATTTTTTACTGCCTTTATGTCCTCTACTACTTCATATAACAATCGCGTGAAAGTTTCATCCCGCTATAGCTATATCGTTGAATTAATAATCGCCGACAAGATGCCATGCATCAATCAAAAATCGACGCAACCGAAATTAAACTTTAATCCGGGCCGCGATAATCAAATTGCCCTCTCCCGCGCGTGTGTGTGTGTGTGTGTGTACCGTGTCGCAGGAAATACTCGTTAGAACGTAGACGTAAGACGGATTAATGTTTCCCCGACCCGGTCGATAGCGAATAAGTCAGCGCATCGCTCTGTGCAAAACATACTGTCCGTAAACTTCGTTCGCGCGAATTAAACACGATAACGTCTAATCGTCACAAACAACACCACAATGTATGTTTCGCAATGCGATTAATCAACGGTTGATTATCCCTATCGCAATGATAAATTCAATTTACGTAAAAATTATATCGCGTAATTGTAAGTGTATAATTATTTTCTATTATTTTACAATATTCTCAAATTTCTGTTGCGTGTACGCAACATAAGATGAACTTTTTTCTGTGCGAATGTGCGTATGGTGCGGTGACTCTGCTAGCCCGGCTATTCTGGATTCCGGAATAACTTTTTCCGAGAAAACGCGCGGGCTGGTTCATCGGCTACCGCATCGCTTCTTGCGCGCGGCGGCCCGTAAGTGCAAGAAGCTGTAAATGTTTACAGTGCAAATCAGCGTAATCCGGTATGGGACACATTTCGGGTTTGCAGCCTCGGACGCTCTTCTATTTGACTTAGGTTTAACCAGGGGATTTCAGCTAATATTAGTACGCGCAGCTTGTCGCGCGTATTACATATACGGTTTGCCAACAGTATACCCGCTATCTTACGCGTCTCTCAATGGAATTACGCTGTGTGTGTGTGTGTGTGTGTGTGTGTCGCGCACTTGCGAGAGACTACGGTAATCAAAGAGCACACCGATAAAGGTAATCTCGCCGCCGTTAGCCGTCGGCATCGCAAATTATTTTCGCGCTGGTGGCCTGCCAGGGCCCTGGGTTCTATTTTCGCGTATCCAAAGGCATCGCCTGTAGATTTCAACGGAGTTCCCGTAAAGTTATGAAAGACGTATTTCTCGGAAAACTTACGGGCATCAAGCGGCGGTATACCCTTTCAATGAAACTTGAGTGAAAAGACGCTCGAGAGAGAGTTCTATACGCATTCCGTGGAAAAATTCCGAGGCACAAAGTTGCGGATTTTTCTTGCGGATCAACCGGCGCGGCGGCGCGGCGCTTCTTACCGGCCGGTGAGCTGGATACATAATCTCGTCTGCTCCGCCAGCACGAGTAACACCGTGGGACGAAAGATGCATGCGAGAGTAAAAGGAAAAGAGAGAGAGGGGCTTAAACACACCTTACATCGAACACAACATATATCGCATCGTCACAAATCTTTCGCACGCTCGCGATGAAAATCGCACGGAACAATGGGAAAAATAACTAAACGACGAGTTAGAACGATCCTTGTGCTAATTATACACTCGAGGAATTAAGAAGAATCGTGAGTCACGCTTAGACACGTCCGTGAACACGGTATAACGTCACAACACACTCACACCACACACATATAATAATTACACGTTTTGTTCCATCTATTATTATTATTATTTGATATCACATCTATCTCTGCGTGTCACTAAAATAATTATTTATTTAACACCATTTATCAAATAATTATATCAAGTTCGTGAAAAGTAATGAAGCTTGCGTTGATAAATTTAGTTCACATCATGAATTAATTCTTCAGTCTACAACATCTACACCAATAATCGTTATCGCACCTTCTCTCGTTGGATTTGGATCAACCGTCACAAAAGAAACCGGCTACAATCGACGCGCTCGGTCCACATGGAATGAAGGCGTCCCTTATACTTGTGCACAATTCGTCCCGCTCAGCTCCGCCCCCTCTCCAGCCTCGGTTCCTCTCCGATGACAAACTTACCGAACGATATCATTACATAACCAAGTCTAACGATAATCATAATAATGCATTATCTGACAACGTCGCTATTGAAACACTGATAATTCGACTTAGAGATATCCACGAGTTGCATCTCTGTAATATTCTTGAAATGTTCCGTACACTCGACGTTACGTGGCCTTGTCTTCGCGTTCGAAACTAGGCATCAAATCGTACGTGCAAAAAATTTTGCGTAAGATCAAGAAACACATAAGAAGGTCGTACACAGTCTTAAATTCACTGAAGAAAGGAAGAATAGCTTCGAATTGTTTAAGCAACGGCTGATGATGGACGAATATTGAGGTGGAACGCACTCGAAATGCTCAAACTCGGATATAAATTTCAGATAAAAGAATACCTAGACTCTCCGAGTTTCCATGGACCAAGGGAACATCTGGACGAGACCTTTCGCGAGAAATACCGAACAGAACCGAAAAGGCCCGATTTTCCCTTGCGGCCCCGCTTTGTTCCTCATCTCGTCACTCATCCCTGTCGGAATTGACAAAGCATTCCAGGTATATTTTTAGCTTCTAATATCTGGGGACTTAGACTTGTGATCTCCGAAGTTTAATATATTATTATTAAAACTGTACGTAAGAGAGAGCTCAATATTAGTTGCTTTCCATTTACACTCAAGTGATCTGATGAGTCACTCAGTTATGTGAGTATTTTATACTCAGGTAAGATATGTCATTTTGTGTTTACCTGCTTATTTTGATGGCAAAGCTATCGCATAATAATACAGGTTCACAGCCTCACTTTTAATGTGAGTTTATTAGATTCATTAAAGCACATGGTCTCGATTGTGAATAAAAATTCAGTTGAATCTCACTTGCCAGCATGCAAAAAGAACGTGCATTTAACTGAGTTATGACGTCACAAGTGAGAACTATCTGAGTTTGATGTAAATGGAAAGCAACTATTGTTGAATCTATATGTACAGTATAAGGTGCGTTAATTCGATGGGTCATAGAATTCTGATTTATTGGCCGCTGGGTCTTTAATAATTATTAAAGTGAATTATTAAAAAGTCAGAATTCTATGATCCATCGAATTAATGCACCTTACCGTACGTGCTAAGTATGTAATATATCGTAATACTGCCGTGGTCCATTACGTTTTCTTAGCCGCTACACGAGGTCGTCGCTAATCTCGTTTTGATGTTACGCAACTTCTGGCGACTAACGCAAACCCGTCATTATCTTATATATGTGATGGAAATTGTTAGAGGATAGAGATGCGAGTTGACAGATGGTACCTACGTTGATCGCCAAGCTGCTACAGCTTCACAAATCTCTTTTTATTTTTTTCTTTATGATTTACGGGCAGGACCGGATGATCAACGCGTTCGTTGGATATCAAGGTCAATACCGGTTTCCGTATTAATCTTCATTAATCTTATCTCAGCTTTCATAACGAACCATCTCAATGAAATAATAACGCCCGACCACACGTCCACGGAATTCTCGTGTAGGTGCAAAATTATCGCTCCCGGAATTGCGCAAGAAACTCGTTTGCCGAGTAACGATATATTAAGCTTAAAAGTTAAATCGCCCTGCAGCCATGTATAACACTTCGAAATGGAGCAAATAATCAAATAATCAGGCCGATCAATTTTCGTGCATAAAGATCTAATTTATCTGAATACTGTTAATTTCGTAACGTATTTAGGTGATAATTAATGAACTCGATAATGAAGATATATTTAATAATCGATTTATCAATATTCACCGGCGATAAGGAGATAAAAGGCACATTCTCTTCGTGAATTATAATTATATATTTTACTTTTATCTAAAAAATAATTCATTTAAATTTACTCGTGTGGAATTATTTTCAACTAAACAGCTTAAAAAATATTCTCACTGCTCTCTCTCTTAAGGTGTCACGTCTCAGTTCTTTCTTAATATTTTCCAAGAAATGTTTTTTATTAAAAGCGTATGTTCGAAGATAATCTCTGCCTTACTCTGTATCAAGCTTAACCTCGACAGATAACAGAAGTAATAGCGTTATACAAGGATTATAGCAACGTAAACGGATGTAGGTCGGTACCTTGATGAGGATTTCCCCCGGCGTCATTCACGCATTATGATAATCCTATATGTTCTTCGTTCTTCAATTATTCATGAAACTCGCTCCGACTTTCCTGCTTAGGCTTCCCTTCGCGGAAACAGATATCCAGTGCTTTCAAGTCATAACTCGAAACGCTCGTACGCGTTTCTGGATTTTTGGACAACGGATACTCTCGCGTACAATATTATGCTTATCCTCATCGTACGAACTCACGTAACCCTTGGGTCGCGATCGATGCACTATCAACACAATTGTCTGAAGATAGGCCTGCAGCACGCGTTTGCATTTGCTCGATTTAACATGTGTCTACCGTACTCTTTTTTTCCCACAAGGATATAAAAAAAGGCAACAATTTTATCCAGCAACATGTGCGCAACTATATCTAGACATTAAAATCCTGTGAGAGTCGCGGTGGGAGATTATATTACATTTTACGTAACAGCGCGTTTTATGTTATTTATTCATACTAAATTAGCAATTCATATTAAATTAATAATGAACTGTCTGGGAATTAGCGGATTTTGTGTGGCGAACAAGATTGCGAAATAGGAGAATAAGATTATTACGTGCACGAGCAACGAGGAAATATGAAGATTAAAAACTACGAAAATCGAAGTGAGATTGCTCTGTTTCCGACCAAGGTTCTTTGTTCGCTCGTACGATTCACCGACCTTCGGGGAATTCAACGCATTGTCTGCGCGTTCATCGAATGCGGTAGGCTCTGACGAGAGCTCTGATTAAAATGCAGGCTGAGTAACAAGTCGTATATACTCTAGGTTTATACGAAAATGTTTGTGCAACGTAACGCTAACCGGAATTAGTACACATACACGATTGATCGGTGTAAGTTACACGATTTTGCATATGCGATTATATTAGCTCTCGCGAGCGAAGTCAAAATCCGGATGTAAAGCACGTTCAAAGATAGAGAGGCATTACCGTTATTCTTGACACAACTGTCAGATGTAATTCTGAAAATTACGATTTCGCTTACTTCGATTTTGGATTATTATCAATGGTCTATACGAAATTGGATCGGCGCTAAAATGGTTCTTTCAATATCAACGCGACACAGAAAACGCTTTAATAAGTTTATTCCCGTATTTTTCGATTTTTCGTAATTGAATATGCCGCGACACATTTGTCATTGCTAGCGTATCGCCTCATTCATCTTACATCACTCACGTGCATCCAAGGACCCGCGCGTACATGTGCACCTGGTGCGCCGTAATCCGCACCTGCGTATGCGAAAACAATACAAAAAGTCCGTCCAACGATATTCCCTCGAAACTCTTCGAAAGTGTATGAAGCGTCTTGTCCGTCAAAACAAAAACAAAAAAAAAAAGAATCTTTAGAATTATCAATATTCATCGCTAAGTGTACGATAAATTATCAAACCAACGCTGACAAACATCGAAGAATTATCAACACCAGAAATAACGTAGAATCAACTTCGTGGACAGCAACAAATTCCGCGCGCGCGTTGTCGATAAATATTGACAATGTGGGTCACATTTTCACATATTATGATGAAATGGCTGAACAAACTTTCGCGGGGTCTCGCCTGGTCGCGCCGACGTGAACTGGACAACAATAAATATTTAGAAATTAACATCCATTTATCAAATATACGTACCGACGATGAATAATCGGGAAAATAAACGCCGGACATTTGCGGACTTTTAAAAGCGACGATCGCCAATTTGCGAAGAGCATCGCCAAAACACCGCGGGAAATGCATTCGCGTGGTGCATTCGCAGAACCGGAAGATCCTTCCATCGCCACGCAAACGGCGTCAAAGCCGCGTTACGATCTGCCGTAACGATCTCGTGACACACCTGTGTGGGCGCAGCTCGGAACGGACGAGAGGGAAAAAGAACCGCGCGCGGTTCTCATAATAAGCGTGAAAACGACAACGATTCCGAACGAACGTTACTCGAGATCGAGTACGGTTCGGTTTCCCGGCCGATCAACGATATCGGGCGTCGCGTCGTCTTATCGCGCGCGACGGCGATTCTCGACGAAAGTTATATACGAGACTGAGCCATATGCCGTCTCTGAGTCACCCGAGAGAGAAACCTGGCTATATACCGATTAGATTAGAGCGCAAGGCATGGCGGCCGGTGTAAACCGTTAGCATTCCAGCAAGAAGGCAAGCTCGCGCGAATCACGCCATTACCGTGCCACCTGAAGCGGATCGGTTCGCCATCAAGGTTTCGCCTCAAGGTTTTCGCCGAGCATCCGCGGGTTGCGGTGATCTATGGACCTGCTCCGGCCACGCCAATCGGCCGCATCGGTTTATCGCTCAGTTTCTTCTCGCGCCGAAACCTCTCCTCTCCGGGTCGTCAACGTACCTCTCGAGTCGGCTTTCTGGGTCGTTGATATCCTTCAGCGGCAGAAGAGCTTCGTCCAGAACAACAAAGACGACGATGACAACGATACGCGGCACACGCGCGACGCAGTTCAGTCTTGGAGAACGGAAAACCCGCGTGAATCGCCGAACGACACGGAGATCATGACGTCCGTCGCTTCGTTTTTGTTGCGCCGCCCGACTCGCGGCTCGCGACACCGAGTCCGCGTCGTAGGTACTCGAGCTCGGGCACAATACTAACAGTCGCCGACTCGTGTGATTACCGAGCGGGGTCTGGAGAACAGGCTCTCTTGCTGTGCCCGCCGGTTAACGATACTCCGTTGCAGTCCACGCTCCATTCGCCGTCCTCCT